GAAGTACTGTTGCACATTTAAAACTAATGGATATTGCCCTCATAATGAATCAAGCAGGAAAGCTTGAAGCTGTAAATCATAGGGTTAAAGAATGACCCAAGAGGAAGGCCTGATGGGAGTTTCCATAGGGAGCACGAGGGATCTTCATAGATTTCACACGTAATCCTGGTGAGATGACAGCAGGGCTCAGGGATTTTGAACAAGGAACAATATTTGAAAAGGATTTCCACAAGACCCAACCAGAAGCCAATGAATACAAGTAATGTTCTTGAGCAGCAAAATGGTTGAAGTTGTTGGGGAGCATTTGGCCACTGTTAACTTTATTAACTGGGCAGGTCTAGTGCATGACATAAAGATTGATCTGATATCCAGGGCTGGAAATGAGCAAGTTGCACACCCAGGACAGCAGAGACAAGGACAGCCACCTGCTGCGTGCTGCCGAAGCACCTGCCCATCCAATTGGGGCACTAGGGGAGAACTAAACTCCAGCACTTTGCTGATGGGTCAGGAGAAGAGAAGAGACACACAAAGATGTCCTGTTACAAGAGGTAGGGGAGGAGGTTGTACGTGGCAAGGAATGTCAGCTGCAGGTTCATTCCTACATACCTGCTGTACTGGAATTTCCTCTGAAGAAGCAGCTGATTTGCACTCGATTTAAAAAGATTTTTCATGGGCTGGTGTGATGGCTCAGTGGCTAAATCCTTACCTTGCCATCACCAGGATACACAGGGGCTCCAGTTTGTGTACTTCACATCCCGTTTCCTGCTTGCGCCCTGGGAAAACAGTAGAGGATGTCTCAAAGCCCCAGGACCCTGCACCTGTATGAGAGACCCAGAGGAAGCTCCTGGCTCCTGGCTTCAGATAGGCTCCGTTCCTGCCATTGCGGTCACTTGGGAAGTAAACCAGCAGATGGAAGATCTTTCTGTCCTTTGTCTCTCCTTCCCTCTGCCTTTCCAATAAGAATAAATAAATCTTTAAAAACTATTTTTTATAATACATATTCCGTAAACACTTTCAAGATCATAATCAATGAATGGGGATTGTCAACTCCCAGCCAATTCACATTTATATCTGACTATCCAAGAAAAACCAAAGTCATTTGCAGGTACACAAGGTTAACTGAAGGGACAAATGTACTGGATCCTTCTGAGCTCCGGTTTTCAAATCTGAAAATAAAAACAAGGGAGCAGGAATCCAGCCCAATCATCAAAATGCCAGCATCCCACATGAGAGAGCCTTGGCTTCACCCCTGACTCCAGTTCCCCACGAACTCAGACAACGGGAGGCAGGATTTATGGCTCAAGACATTGGGTTCCATCCACCCCTGGCCATGCTTGGCTCCTGGCTTTGGTCCCAGGTGGGAGCCACTCTAAGCCTTTGGGGAAGGAACTAAGGAGATGGAAGCTCTCAGTCTGTCTGTCTCCGTCTGTTCCTCTGCCTCACCAATAGACTTTAAAAAAATAATTTTTAAAAAATGAAAGCCATAAGACTACCTCCTGCTCCTGATCAAGGATGAGGCATGCATTATAATACTAGACAGCTTTGTTCTTAAAGCTCGCCCCTAGATACCTGGGCCCACCTTTGCGGTGGGTACTGGGTCCATGAGCCCTGGGGGTGGGGGCCTGGCATGGCCCCAGTCGCCTGGCCAGGATTCTTAAGTCTGTATGCAAGAACTGGACCTCCTGAGTGGAAACTACAAAAAAGTGGACAGGAGGCCCAGATGCACATAGAAGATATGGCAGTCCACTGGGGCTTGCAGAGGACATCTGGCACCATAGCAGAGGAAGGAGGGCCAAGCAAATTGATCAACTACCCCAGCCAAACGATGACAGCAAATATCTGAGCGAACAGAGGCTCTAAGGTCAACTATGTCAGCCAAACGACATTGAAAGGATTCCCTCCTCCTTGGATCAGTGAGATTTCACAACTATTGAAACCACATGGGCAGAACCCTTGGAGTGTGTACCACATCGGGACACTGGGATGATATTGGGTGGCCGTTCCCCATCCCTGGCTACCGAGGCAGTTGTGAGCCTGAGTATTTCTTTAAAGCACATTCATGTAAATTCCAAAATGGGCAGCTGGTTCTCCATAGTTACTACCATCTTTCATCGTGGAAGGAAATGAGTCAAGGAAATGGAAGCACAAATATACACACACACCTTGGTTGTGCATTTGCTCTTTTTTTTTTAATCTTAGATTTTCCTCACTTCTTTCCCCTGTCCCTCATCTTCTACCCCTGACAACAGCTTCCCTTTAGAGCAAACATCCATGACAATTGCATAACAGTTGCCTGGGGTTTGGCTACTGCTTAACAGGTAGTTAGAAACCATTCTGTGGTGCTAACCAGGATTCCAGCTAAGGGACTGGCATGAAGCAGCTAATTACAGCAGTCAAGAGGAACGTTGAAATGAAGATGAAAATGTAAATACTGCCTGCTCGGGACAGAATGATTAGAAATTACAGTTGTTTGTTCTTTGTCAGAACCATCTGTGATTTCCCAGAATTTTGACATGCAGCGTATCCTGCCACTAATCAAAAAGGAAAAAAAAAAAAAAAAAAAGAGGGAAAGAAAGAAAACAAACCAAAAAAAAAAAGGGGGGGGGGAAATATCTAAGACTGTAAGTAGGAAAACAGACATAGAAAAACCTGTGGCTTTCCAAATGGGAAAAATATGTAGCTTGCTTTTGTAAAACGAATCGGATCTGTTTGGAGATCATCTCAGCTCCCTTGGGAGATCTGTCACCTATCCATTTTAAAGTTCACCCATGGGAGATGCTGGCAGCTCCAAGCGGAAAAAGCAGCCACCAGCATGATGATAAAAGAACAGAGTTGAGAATACTCAAATTCTAATGCAACTGCTTACCATAAAAGAAACTCAGTTTGAGTACCAGAGTGTTCAAAAATGTTCACAGAATATGAGTAATGATACAAAAAAATTAGGAATGCACTTTTGAAATGTTTTGCACCAGGATTTTTAAAAAGTTACCTTTTTATGATACTTTTCCCTGAGTTTTTGGAAATATCTGCCGTATCATTGACTCATGAAGACAACTTGATGGTGTTAGTATTTGAGTTGTATAAAGTGAAGGGGCAGGTATTCCTCTTGTGCTTGAGATGCTGGTTGGATGGATTCCTTCATCCCACATCAGAGGGAGCTGGGTTCAGCTGCAACTTCTGGCTTCTGATCCTAGTTTCCTACTGATGTAAATTCTAGGAGGCAGTGGTAATGGCTCAAGTATTTGGGTTCCTGGCTTGAGCTCCAGCCCAGTCCCAGGCATCACAGGCATTGCCAGGAGTGAGCCTAGTAGTTGGGACTGCTCCCTGTGTCTGTCTGAATCAATCAATCAATCTCTCTCTCTCTCTCCCCCTTCTCTATGCCCCTATCTGTCTCAAACAAATAAATTAAACCTTAGGCTAAAATGTCTGATGAAGAAAATGATCGGGCCTGGCGTGGTGGCCTAGCAGCTGAAGATTTTTGTCTTGCATGCCAGGATCCCATATGGGCACCAATTCGAATCCCAGCTGCTCCACTTCCCATCCAGCTCCCTACCTGTGGCCTGGGAAAGCAGTCCAGGATGGTCCAAAGCCTTGGGACCCTGCACCCACGTGGGAGACCCTGAAGAATCTCCTGGCTGCTGGCTTCACATCAGCTTAGCAATGTGGCTACTTGGGGAGTGAATCAGTGGACAGAATACCTTCCTCTCTGTCTCTCTTCTCTGTATATCTGACTTTCCAACAAAAATAAATACATCTTTGAAAAAAGAAGAAATGTTCTTAGAATGACGCCCTCACAAGTCCTAATCATACCAGATACTGAAGTGAGGATTGATTTTTTAATTCACCTGTGCCTAGTTTTACAGAGAGAACAGTCTTTATGAGGTGCATGCCAGCTCGAACATGGAAAAGCACATGACGTGGCATGCATCTTAATTTCAGAGAATTCTTACAGGAACTTAAAACAACCACATCCACAGAACAGAAGTTACAGGAAAACAACACACAGCATGAGCTGAATTTAAAGAGGTGAACCCAAGGGCAGCTTTTCCTTGTCTTAGTGACAAAGCAGGCCGACATGCTGGGTTATTCTGGAAGCATCTAGTGTTTGAACTATTCCTCTCTCTCTCTCTTTCCAGCTCTCTGTGCCCCAGGTCATTTCCTGCGTATCAGAAAGATCTGGGAAACAGAAGGGAGCCAGGAGAAAGCCGTGATTTCAGCTGATAGCAACTCAGGAACACACACTCATCCACACGTTGATTATTTCATTTGTGCCAGACACTCTGCTTGCGTCACCTCTCCTAATTTATTTAATTCTCCTGACACTTCTATAGTTTCCATTGTACAGAGAGGAAATGGGTCCAGAAAGGCCGAAAGTCGTTCAAAGGAGTGCTGTCATTCAAAACTGGGTGTTTGCTCGCAGAGCCTGTGCGCTTGCCTGTTCCTCAAAAGCGCAGAGGGAAGAAAGTTTGGGGTGAGTGCTGTCAAACTCCCTGCCATGTCTACAGATCCAGACTTCCGGCCTGGAAATGGGCGTTTCCTCATTCGGGTGCCTTGCCCGGGGCATGCACCTGTGCGATGTGAGAGCTCCTTACACACTTGTCACAAAAAAGAATGTTTCATGCCAGTGTAGAGTGGAATCTTCTGGAACACACTGATCCATACAAGCATAAGATCCTAATTTGGTCGGCTTTGTAATACATTAATGTGCGCCTCAGGGAAGCCCAGAAAGGAGTTTAAGGCTATTGAAAAACAAACAAACAAACAAACAAACATTGTAGCAGAATTTGATTCCAGACTGATTCTTAAATCGCCTATGTCTCTATACACAGCCAAGGAACCAGATCTGTTACCTGTCCCTAAACGGCGACAGGTCCTGAGTGTATTGCAAGGGCTGATTGGAAAAAAGAAAAAGAACCCCAGAGAGGAAATGAACCGAAACAACATCATTTCGCAGCAACCGGAAGGAAAAAGACACATATGCATACGCCACATCTACGTGTGCGGTTGCTGAGTGGGGAACCGCGTACAGCTGCCTGCAGAAGGAAGCCTGGGGGCTGCAGCGAGGGCCCGCTCTCGCCTCCTACGAGCCCAGAGAGAGGGCAGGAGTGCCAGGGAGCCGCGATGATCCTCCAGCCGTGCTTCTGTCCCCGGGGTGAGTTCTCAGCCACTTGCTGTGGCCTGGCGTGGGCGTGCAGGGAGCTCACCCAGATCCTGCCCCGGTCGGTGTCAGACATGGGAGGCAGTTCCTTCTGTGAACACCCCTTAACCGGGGATGAAAGGGCTTCAATACGACCCAAAGGAAAGAATGAGTGACTCCAGGTTCCCTTCAAGTTGACCTGGCCGAGCTGGTGTTAATACCGCTTTAAACCCGCAAGATTTGTATTGGGTTAATCATCTTGGGTTGGTGCTTCCTGTTGTGCTGTGCGAGTGCATAGCTCCTCCCCTTTCCAGCTGACCTATGACAGTCTACCTGCGTGGAACTGAGCCTCTGTGTTTTCCAAATGACTTCAGTGTGCTTCCCAGTTACCACTTCAACTTGAAGGTGCAATAGAATCATTTGTCTCAATTTCAGCCCCTGTGGGAATGACTCTCAGGGGTGACGGGGAGGGATGGGGACAAGAAATGGAAACAGGATTCGGTTCTGTGTTTGTGGTCCAGTCTCGTAGAGTAGCGTTCCTCAGCACCGTGTGTGAGGGACCAGAGACACGGGCACTGGGTTCTACCTGGCAGGCCGGGCCACCTGCCAGCTCCTTCCTGACTTTTCTTTGCATTTATCCGTTGATCTGATTCATCCATTCCACTGGCTGCTACACAGGGGATTTGTGGTTTCCTCTCTTTCTTGCTTTCTATTGAAATGGGTTCAAAATGAAGGCATATTGAATGGCAGGGGAAGACAGCTCTGGGGACAGTCCAAAGCTATATGGAGATCCATGCTCCGTGTTCACACTGTGCTAACCATGACAGCTGACAGCGGGCACCCCAACCTGTTCAACTCCTGCGTGTGGAGCCGCTTCTTCGCCACCCAGAATGAGGTGTGAAGAGGAATTGTCCAGAATTCTTGGAACCGGATGGAAGGCTTTCCCCCTTGTCACTGCCTCCTTCCGTGCTTGATTATGTTCAAGGACATTCCTGCTGTGAGGAGAGGGAGAGCGAAGGTTGTCTAAGCTGTCTTGCGTTGCAGCTCTACACTGTGTTAATGACTTCGCCTACTTAAGAACTATCTAGAGAGTTCTCACCCTGTGAAAGTCACTTCGTAAGTCAACACCTAGAGAGACCCAAACTGATATTGCCCTGTTCCTAAAATAAGTTGCAGTCCAAAGGAGCATCAGGCATTATTTAATAAACCAGAGGAGGAGAACTTGCTTCCCTCTGCCTTGCTAGTTTCTATGATTGGCTGGTCTATGAATTAAATCGATGTGAGATAGAGTAATGGGAGAAAACAAAACTTAAATTGCACTTGTCTTTATGGGATTCCAGAAAAACATGAAACACAAACAAGTGTTCGTATTTGATGATTGAGGCTTCTATGTCAACATGAGATACAGAAAGGAACAGAGGTTAGGAGTTTCTGGAGCTGGGATGGGATTCAGGCAGAGCAGGTGAAGGGCCTGAGTAGGGTGAATTGGCCTGAAACAATCAAAGAGGTATGTAGGTGAGGTGCCTTTTGCATTACCAAGATTCTGTAATGACTCAGGCTTTCACACCTTTCTGATCTCAGAGAGGAACAAGTGGAAAGTTCCTTTATGGGATATAAGCTTGTCTTCCCAGAGGGCAGATTTTGGAGCTTCTGAGCCTGCAGATTCTCAAGTCCAGCTCAACGTAATGAAAAGTCTAAAGAGGCATGTTTTAGGGTGGCTTGTTCTGGCTCCAGCTGTTGTGTCTTGCATTGATAATCGCATAACTGTGATGAGGAAGGACCAGAACATACAGTGGGGCCATCAGAATTTGACTGGGAGTCAGGGAGTTCCCATAAAGGAGAAGATGAAAACTGAATGAGGTGGAAGACACACTGGCAAGGACTGGCTGGTGCTCTGCAGAGAGGGGATGGGAAGACCAAAAATGGAATCTGCAGAATAGACTTGCAAAATCAGGTCCTTGCAGTCAGAGAAAAGAGAAAAATGGCTAAAGTAAATCTAGACAAGGAAAAGGCGCAGACAGGGTTAAAGATGGTGCCGATCCGAAACATGTTGGAATAGTCAGGCCCGTTCTGATTGGATCCATATTTTTTTTCTTTTTATTTTGAATCATTTGAATCTTGTGGTACAATTTCGTGAAGACTGGGATTCCCCCACCCCAACTCCCACCCCCCCAACAGGTCTTTGCCATGTTGCTACGTTAGTACGGTACTTCGTAAAGATCCGCAATTTTAAGGAATCTCTTGTGACAATGTGGAGAATGGATCAGGGAGACAATGAGGATGATATCGGCTGAACACGTATGTCCGCTGGAGTACAGACGAAGGGGATGGCGACAGAGACCTGTGTGGACAAACTAGAGTCACCTAGAAGAAAAGCCAGTGACCTTGGTGGTGGGCAGGAAAGGAGGGTAGGAGAAGTGAAAGCGGACCCATGGCTCCTGGCTGGGTAGTCCAAAAAGCTGGTGGTGCTGAGTGCTGGCCGCAGGCACTGGCAACGCTGATGGAAACCAAGTCTCGGTGGGTTCAGCTCTGGAAATGATTTTGGAAGCTCTGGTAGCCATCCACGGGCGGACGTCAGCAAGGCAGTTGGTGTGCTGATCCGGAGCGCAGAGCGCGCGTCTGGGGATTTTGGGCATGGGGAAGGTAACTGAAGGCAGGGACATAGCTGGCACATCTTTGACACATAGCATCAAGGGGGGAAAGAGGAGGACATTTATGGCTGAATTTCAAGAAACACCAGCATTTAAACAGACATAGAGGAGAATGAACCCTTCAAGATGACGATTTTTTTTCCTTGAAAAAGTTAAACGCAGAATGATCGCATAATCCAGCAATTTCTGGCCACAGTGAAAAACCCTAAAGAATTGAAAAGAGAGACCCAATCAACTACATATACACCCGTTTTTATTACAGCACCATTCACAATAGGTTAAAAATGGAAACAGCTTCACTGTCCACAGACAGATGAATCAACAAGTTGTAGAAGACCCTGCTACGGAATATCAGCCATTACAAAGAATGAAGGACTAAGCTACGCTGCTGTGTGAGTAAACCTTCAAAGAATTGTGCAAAGTGAAAGAAGACAGACACAAACTGTCAAACATGGCATCTCCAAAAACTTACAGAACAATGCATATTACGAACAAACCATGCCTGAATTTTTTAAAAAAACATTTTACACCAAAATAAGTAAAATCTTTTCATTCCATTCCCGATGAACTTTTTGATGTTGCTTTGAATGACCCGACTGCTATAACATGTCCCATGGCGGTAAATCAATGGATCAGGAAGGCAGCCCTGTGGTCATCAGGGGCCGAGGGACAGGAGAAAACGCTTCAGAACTGAATAATAGTGGTGCTTGCATGTTTTGGCAACGTATTGGAGGTCATTGAACTCTTGTTTAAGTGGTTAGTGTTATAGGTTATAAATGCGTTTTAGCATTGGTTTTTAAAGGCAGGTGACGAGGACGGAGCAGCCAGAGGCACAGGCTGGCGTATCCTCCTTCACTTGTAAGAAGAAGCTCCTTGGAAGGGCCCTGCTAGGGGATGCATTTGGTAATGAACGTGTGAAGCATCAGGCAGGCAGGGATATGTGCCCAGGCCTCATCAGGACTGGGCTGCAGCTGTCACGGAAGGGTATCTGCAAACAGTCTGTGCCCTCACCATGACCACGCTGCCTCCCACCTCAGCATCTCAGGACTTCCTTTCAGCCAAGTAGGGTCAATCATCCTTACCCAAAAGATAGATTAAAAAATGCCCAAGAGTTCATTCCCCACGGGGCTGTAGAGAACCCAGCTCCTTTTGCCCTAAGTGGAATAACTGTAGCCTTTATCTCATCTTTTCTTGAAGTTTCCATGTGGGCTTCAGTGCCAGCTACCCACAATGGGGGTGCTCTGCATGGCTTCTCTCCCTCCCCTTTCACTCCCTTATTCCCTACTTATGCTTTCTTGGCTTGTTTCTTGAACCACATGCCCTTGAACCCTGCATGGGGTGGGGGGATACACGCTAGAACAACTTGCAACACAATGCTGTGCGTATTCCAATAGTTTGGTCCTGTCCTCTAATGATGAAATCCCTTGACCTTATCCACCTGTGCTTTGGTATCCCTCAGACCAATTCAAGGACTGGGCTGGGGGAAGGCTGCCCCTCATTATCTTCTGTCACCAGCTTGGAGAAGGACACCAGCACTGTCTCTTTAGGAAAGCTCCTTGACACCTGCCACGTCTCCATGTATAACTGCACGGTGTGAAGACACAGCCTACCACAAGACACCTCCAACCTTCCGCTGCTTGTGTGTCTCCCCGTCATTCACTGGATCCGCATTTCCAAAGTTTAGGACATGGATAGCATCATCTCATGCAGTACGGGATGTACACACAGAGCGTAAAATCACATTGAGCCCCACAGAGAGACAACTCGTGATTCATTCGGTCCTCTGCTTTTGATCTGCTCTTAAGCCTGCTGGTCTGACATGGCTTGGTCGTACACAGGCACGTATGAAGTGTGTTCAGAAAGTTCTTGGAAGAAGGAACTTTTGAGCTATAAAATTTGGAAGTCACCCTTTTTCATAATATGCATTTCCACAAGCTTTCTGAAGACCCTTCCGAGAAGCGTGTATGTTTAGATAATCTATACCTGGCTTATTTTTTTTTTTTTTTTTTGCCTATTTGGGAGCTGTAGTAAGTGCGATCGTACCACATGTTTCGTGACTTGACCGTTGGCTCCACATCGTGTTGCTGCAGGCAGTTGTCTATATTGATGTAGATTGATCAAGGATGTGTTCCTACAGTGTTCACCATTCTGTTGCATGAACAGGTGACAATAGCTTTATCAGTTCCATCAACTCAAGGTGCCAAGTCATTATAGATGAAGGGTCAGGATTATGACTTCACAACAGCCGGCAAATGCTTCTGTCTCTCATGCAGGAAACACACTACCAGCACAGACCTTCAGCTTCGCCTCGGGTGAGAAACAGGCTTCCACAGGGAACAGGAGGCAGACGAGTTAGAGATCTGA